ATTCTCTAATCCTTTAATTTTGAGAAACTTTTGTTTCCTGTTTCAAAATTGCTTCTACATCTTCTGTAACCCGTTTGCTCTTTGAAAATCTTACCTGTGTGCAAGGAGTAGAACAGAGATCCACATATAAAGGCCTGGGGGCCAAGTCACACTCACCGCCAGTTTTGTAAATAATGTTGTATTAGAACACGCCCACATCTTTTTATTCGCTCACTGTCTGTAGCTGCTTTTACGTGACAGTGGCAGGATTGAGTAGTTTCAACATAGATGTGTGACTTGCAAAGCCCAAAATATTTACTGTTTGGCTATGTATATTGAAGGTTTGTGGACCCCTGTGCTCGAATATAATGTGAGATTATTTTTTTAAATGCTAAAGGAAACACAGTCTGCTTTGCCAACTGTCAATTGTTACTGACAAAATTATGTTTTAGTTTGACATTTAAAACATTTATGATTTCCAACAGGGAGATAAAATTGGATCCAGTGAGGAAAGGAAGAAAGCATAAAGCAGTTTAAAATATCCAAACATTCTTAAATCTTCATTTACAGATGAAATAAACATTTAAACATATATAGGCACTTATCTTTGTATGTCAAAAAAAACTGCTGAAAATTTAAATATGATGGTTGTCAACTCCTTTAAAGTTTTTTTTTTAAGCAAGAATTGAATGTGTTGTTGCTAATGACACTGCATCGAGTCTTTTACAAGCACATTTTTCCTGACCCTTAAGTGCCTTTAAAAACATGCGCCAAGAATTCATCATAGCAGCAGACAGCACACCCAAATATTTGGTAGGGCTTATGTAACCACGTCCTTTCCCCATCAGTTTTTCCCTTAAAGCTTAGTTAACTTTCTTTTGCTTGCCAGCTCCCATTTCTCTGGTTTCTCTTCTTGGAATACATGACTTTCTCGATCCCTTGGATTGCTTCACCGAGATGTCAGCCCTCAGAAGCCAGTGAGAAGTGGGAACAGTTTTCTTTCACATTCCCTTGCTCAACACTTCATTTTTTTGCCTGAAGAACTGTTTTGCAAAGCTTCTGTTCTTGTCATACAAGGAAGTTCTATCCACCCAACTTTAATAACACAGCATAAACAACTCACACTGTAGTTGCTAATAGTTCCAAAGGCAGCATTTTCATAAGTCATGCAAACTGCAAATAGCAGTGTGGGGAGGGAGGAGTTTTTAAGTATGAGTCTTCCTGAGTTGAGACTTGCCCACTGGCTGCCTCAAGTATACATTCTTGCCTTGAATAATTGGAGTCACAGAGAGAACTTGGAGTGTATGACACTCTAAGAAGAAGAAAAAAAGAACAGGAAAATAGCATTAACAAGTATCTGTTTTTGTTGCTGCCATTTCCTAAATGTATTAGTAGGTGTACAATTTCATTGGATATTCCTTTTTTTTTTTCAATTGTCTTTGTACCTATGGTTGAAAACGGTAGTTGGTCTATGACTTTTGAAGAGGTAAGTTTTTAATCTATGTATGTCTGTATCAGCGTCTGTCTCTTTGAAAAATGCAGTATCCTCCTCCCAAAAGTTGCTAACTAAACCTCCCCAGTGGTCCATCTTCTATGGAAGAGGGGAAGGAAGTAAGGAGGAAATCTGTGTCTGCTCTTTGTTCAGATGGTGCCAACTGTGTGAGATGGAGTATGTTTCAGACTGTACAGTGTGAGTTATAAAGGTTATATAATGAGTATCTTCTATAATCTTTTTCTGAAAGGCACAGGAAGCAATCTGCCTGTTTTGTTTACAGGCTCTGAGCATTCGGCACATCTGCTTTTGCAATCTTACAGCATGTGGCTATCGCTGGGCAGACTGAGGTTATCGGAGCTGAATTTCAGTCTGTCCTGTGGCCAGACCTTGCTAACATTTCAAAACAAACCAAACAAGGTTACTACCTTTTCCAAGTCATCAAATCCAACCTCCTTCTTCATTCCAGAGCAAAAGCAAACTTTTTTCTTCTATCAGTTGATTCTGAAAAGAGTTCTGGCTCTTGGGAAGGGCTAGAAAAGACAGCTAAGACATGTACGCTCTGGTAACTCTTGGTCTGTATGGGGCAAGTCCTTCGCAGGAAGCCCCCATCTCAGTAGCTGTGTCTCACTGCAGCAATCACTGTGCTACTTGGTGGCACTGGGGAACTTGCAACTACAAACAGGGACCCCCTCAGGCTCATACTTCGGAGGATGATACTGCATTTTGGACCCCCGAGCTTGCTTTCCCACTTGTCTGTGAGTGCAGAGCAGGAGTCTGACACTTCTCACTGTGCGGCTTGCTTTGCAGACACCAAACTGAAGCTTCTTGCTAAAGCAAAAGCCAGTAGATGCACCCCCTAGGCTCTTCTGCTTTGGATGGGTCCTCAGACACTCAGCCTCTCCCCAGGTTTTCCCCCAGCTATACCCCCTGCCTCTTTATAGGTGTGTCTCTGGGGAAGGGTTTAAGTAGTAGCAGTCATTGTAATAAGTTAACAGAATTTCAACTGAGTTCACACACATCTTTCTTCTGTAACATATAATCCATCAGACATTTATCTTTAATCAGTAGGGAAATAGCTACCTGGTATGGTTTTTAAATACTTCAATAAAATATGTTCCCACAAACACCATGTGCCTTTACTTGGAGGTTGTTGTAATGCAATGCTCAACAGGTAATTGTAACCCGAATAACTGGTAGCTGTGACATTTTTACTTGTGCCAAATTAATATAAATAATAGCTAAAGAAGCAATTTGTACCTTGTAGTTCTTTGAGTACAGTTTCGGTAGAAATATGACACTTCACTCAGAATTAGGTATAGAAGTAGGCTTATCTCAGTCTCTTGAAGGGATTTATCAAGAAATGAGAAAAATCTCTTCCCCACCTAAGCATGTGCATTGTGAAAAATGTTGTGTTGACATAGTGCTAGGTGTTGCTATTCTTCCCTGGCAAGAGGGAAATTTATTGAAAAAGTTTCTAAAGCTTCTTTTTTAGATGTAAGTTTTCTATAAGTATGTAAGTTCTTTCCGTGAAGAGAAGTGATAGACATATCAGAAATAAAAACTAGCTCTGCATCTTGCTAGGAAGTGGGCTTTTTCCACAAAGATCTAAAGGTCAATTGCAGAAGCTCTGGCCCACTTCCCACATTTACTATCCTTCTGTGGGAGGGCAGAACTTGAATAAATTGAGGGAACAGAATTTGATGAATACAAGTTGACTGCACAGATGTGTGGAGAATCTGGGGAGAGAGTTCTTGCAAGACAGCATGTTTGAGAGGTTACACTGAACCTATCATAAAGAATGATCCAGAGTAGTTTTGTGTAGAATGTGACCTTCTATCAGGAATGGACTTAATCCATGTTTTCTCATTCCTGTATCTTACTCCTCCTTGTGAAATTGAAGATCTAAATTGCCTGTTTATAAGCAAAACTTTAAAACACTCCTGTTACAAGTATGTATTTGGTGTAAATAACGTGTAAAAAAGATGAGGATAGTACTAAAAATAGTCTACCACCCACCCTCTTTATATATATTGTTTATATTATTATAAAAATGGGATTTTCCAGTTATATCTTTTTTCTATAAGTAGCATAATTATTTTCTGTTATTATTTCTTCTAATATTCTACTATTGTGTGGAATTCTGCCATGAATTTACCTAAAGATATTTAAGTGATATGGAATTTTTTTTTAGTATATGTCAGCCCACAACTATGCCAGGTTACACACACACACACACACACACACACACACACCACTATCAAAGTATAGATTTGCCCTTTAACCCTGTTCATGAGTCTCCTACCCCAGGAGAATCTCAGCCTTTCCCCTTACTGTCTGTTTTCAATTGTTCTTTAAGAGCAAAAACAACAAAAAGCAGGGGGGAAAAACTCTCTCTCTCTCTCCTTTGTATTTTAGGGAAGGGCCTACAGGGTGTTCAGGGTCTCACTACTAGATCGGACTTGTAGTGATTCTCCTGTTTACAGCCTCCCAAGAGCTGGGAATACAGGAGCATGCCACCCCCACCCCCAGTCTCAATCACCATGTCATATAGCAGGCCTGGGGATAAAACCCTGGCCCTTGTGCATGCTTGCAGGCACTTTAATCCACTGAGCTATTTGGTTGGCTCTTTGTCAGCTCTCTTGAATCTCTTACAACTGTCAACAGTAGCAAAGAGCACCTTTGAAACTGGAGTGGAAGACAATAAATTGGTATTCTGAAAATAAATATGAATGTGCCAAGTTGATCATAGCTAGTTAAGGGTAGGTTTTGCTTATTAAAAATTAGTTACTTGGCACTTTCATCACATAATTTTGTTTCAGATTTTTTTCCCCCCAGGAGTTCAAGGGTATCGGGAAATAAAAGACACCTCAGTACAATCTCTTTAAACCAAAGTTTAAAAAAAATTAGAAACTTATTATAGGTACTATAGCTCTTACTAACACAAAAATGTTTTCAGAAAAGTATATTCTTACTCAAAGAATTTTTTTAAAAATTACCTGGTGGCCAGATCATGAACCCACATATCTTGACTTAATTTATAGTGTTGTTGAATACTCTCAATCAGTATGAGCCCTGATCTGGGCAAAATAGTTCAATAAAATGTCCAGTGACATCTCTACTAGGTCTTACAGTTTTTCTTGCAGTCAGGGATAGAGCTTCTGTGCATGTTTTAAATAGAGAATTACTTGTGTCTGTGTTCTAGGTCTTTATGAAAACCTCATGGAATTGGGAGTCTGGTGGGAAATTTGTTCTTGTGGTTCACTTTTTATGATTAAGTTCTACCTGGAAGGTTTGAGAGATAATTGTCCAGTCTTCTGGGTAGAGTACTGCATCCGCACTGCTGGCTAAACTCACTGTTGTTTCCCAGACAGCAATCCTGCCTTCCTGTGCCACTTGCGCCTTCTCCTTTTTACACCTATGAAAGTTCACTTTGTTGCTGTTGCTTGTTTTTCACATTAGTTCCTTTCATTTCTCCTGTATGTTCAAATACTAATATCTACCTCTGGCTATTGCTCTTTTTCTACAGAGGGAGAACAGAAGATTACAGGAGGCCAGCATGAGATTGGAGCAAGAAAATGATGACCTTGCCCATGAGCTCGTAACCAGCAAGATTGCTCTGCGGAATGACTTGGATCAGGTAAAATTGTAGTTCACTGACTTCTGGAGGGCAGGGACTAAGATGCTCTCCCACATGTCTGCCTTGACTAACTGCTTGATAGCCAAGTGAGTGGGTGGCAGAGGGGAGGAGACCATACAGTCAATGCTGTGGCTCCACCCCAATCTCATATAAATTGGAGAGACCAGAAGGTGAAGGAAGCATTTGAGGACAGTTTGGGGCATTTCCAAATAACATGCATGATGTATTTTTTGTACCTCTAATTTTCTGTGATGTCTCTTCTATTAGAACTTTTCCTAAACCAAGAATTGTCAGCATAATCGCCTAAGGATATTAGTCACCAAAGAGTATACTGATGCTGCTGTGACATTTGTAGGCACCTTACTTTTTCTTCCATAGGAATTCTCACCTATAATGAATGTGAAGGTTTATAAGAAGTACATACATTAAGAGCTGGATTGTTGGGTTGACAGGCATTTTAGCAGCTAAGAGTCAGATTGCCTGAATGTGAATCTTGGCTCCAATCCATTACTAAACTGAATGAACTGGGCTGTTCTTTACCTTCATAGATATAATAAAGTACCTCCGATGTAAGAGTTAAAGCACTTCAGTAGTATGTATTCAATAAATGCTAGTTATTGCTTGGAAGACTTTGAATTGTTTGGTTTCCTTGATCTTCTGAAAGTGCTGATAGTCTCAGGACTTCCTGTTTTCTACTGCTGTTATTTTCAGAGCTGACTGACAAAGTGGAAGCAGTTTTGTGAAGATATGAAATTATTACCCTCTGTTCTGAGTACTAAACAGTAGATACTCCTAACAGATGCTGCAGGGCCAGAAGAATTGAAACTCAACATTGTCGAGTCTGAAAGGAGGAGTCATTACCTGTTGTGTAATTGTGCGTTGACAGTATTCAAAATACAAACTCAGTAATAACAAGATCTGCACATGTGTTTAAAGTTGAAGGACAGCTAAAAATGGCCTCTGCTACAACTTCTTTCCCCCTTAAATAAGTAGCTCAAAAGTTTTAACCGCAGTACTGCGGGAGATAAGACCCAACTGTCCAGGAAAGTAAGGCTAATGGAGAGGAGGAGGCTGGGGGAATGAGCACAGAATGGAACTTAGCCTCCTCTACTACACCCACCCCCTGTGAGAGGGACTCAGCCCAGGGCCTCATGCACACTAGGCAGGTGCTCTTCCATTGAGCTATCCCTCCAGCCCCTAAATGAACTTTGAGGTGAGAGATTTTAAAAAAGCCAAACTATATTTAGGAGAAAATGCATATACAGAGTTGTTTAATATAGTGTTATTTGTAAGAATAAAAAGTAGAAATAATGTGCATATCCGATAGTAAGGGAGATAGTAAGGGAGAATGATAGTACATCTGTTAGCTATCTTTTGGAAATATTTTATTTTCACATATACTATGCATGACTAATAATGAGAACAAAATACTATTTTAAAAAAGCATTTCACCTTCAAGACAATCCTTGTTGTAGGTCAGTCTGAAATGACTAGTAGAGGGTACTCCTGAATAATAGATTATTTAGTATAATAATCCAGGTATCTCATGATGGTGTATGAGATTAGTTTTAAAGAAACACTTCCTTCAGCCTCTGTCTCTGCTATCTCCTTTCCTCTCTCTTATCTTTTGTCTCTGCCTCTTCCTGCCTCTCTCGCTCCAAAGAGTAATAATACCTAGATTCTGCTTTTTGGATCTAATTATCTAGATGAAAGAATGAAAGTTGCTACTTCATGCAGATCTCCTCCTAACTTGTTTTGCAGTTTCTGCCTCTGCAGGGTGTTTTGTTTGTTTGTTTGTTTGTTTGTTTTATTTATTTTTTTGTGTGTGGAAGAACCAGGGATTGAACTCAGGCCCTTGTGCTTGCCAGGCCAGCACTTATTCTACTGAGCCATCTCTCCGGCCCCTCCTTGCAGGGACTTTTTGACATCGGTCTTGCCTGCAGTTTAATTGTCCTGCCCTCTGGAAGGGCATCAGCCCAAGTGAAAGCCCACCCTTGCCCGGTACTGTTTCATTACCATTTTATTAAAATCAGATCTCTTAATCAAAATAGTTAAGCTTCTGCAAACATTAAACGAACATGAAAGCAGGCTGTAGTGAGCCTCTGTATAGTAAACTGACACTGATGAGGTAACTAGGTGTCTTTCCTCATCCTTGTGATTACAGTGCTGGCTTCAGGCCTCAGGGGACCAAAAAGCCTCCAGCTTCTCTGCCATAAAGCGCTTTCCTTTTCTTCTAGCTCCTTAAATAGTGATGTTTCGGGAGTAGAAAAAAAAGATATATCTCCATTTCAGTTTCTGTTGTTACCTGATTTCAGCCCATCTTTCCTTGTTCTCAAGGAACAAAAAAAGACACAAAAGACTGTGTCACTAAAGACTCTGTGTGTTTCTTTTAACCACAGAAAGTTCTGTGTTAGACTAGAAACTAATAAGTTGTACATTATTTTGCTTTGTTTTAAATTGAGTGACTGTCTTGGCTAGCTCCTGCTGGAATCATTCCTGAAAGATCTTCATCCCTGATGTTAGAGCTTGTGATCAGGTTGTCAGTTGATTCATGTCAAAGTAATTTTGTAGTGTTTGTTTCTCTCATCTATTTCTGCTCAATAGGTTTAGAGTGTAGTCAGAACTTTCAATAAGATATAAGATGTTCATAAGTGATTTAAAAACTTAATAATGACAGTGTTCTGCTGAGTCTTACTATCATGATGAAAGTTTGATGAATTTTGTCCAAAGGCAAAATTGGAATAACTACTGTTTAACATTATGTTCACTTAACATTAAGGATAATTTGTTCAAATTAAGGCTAATGGTTGGCTATACAAAGACCCAGAAGCCTATTTTTACAAGGAGAACCAATTATTTCAGATCAGATTACTATCTATTTATATGAACAGGACAGTTGCTCCTACTTTACAGTTTAACCTGCAGTGGAAACTTCGGGACAGTCTTTCTGGAAAATTGTGTGGTTTCTCCCCTGTACTAAGACCTATAGAAATTGCTCCAGGTGATGGATATGATAACAACAGAATTAAGTAAGGTTGCTTTATCTTGGTTTAACAAAGACTAACGAGCAGAAAATGTGCAAATAAAATGAATAGGGTCTTTAGCATAAATATATAGGTGTTTCTAAGTAATTTCTTAAAGAGATGGGTTTTTCCTCCTTCTTACAGAGGTTTCCAAAATTATAAAACAAAACATTCACATAGCTTGCTCCTGAAGTCATGCAGCAGTGACTATTCAAGTTTCCAAAAGGCTAAACTTCTGGATGAATCTCTCTTCAAGAGAGCCAACTTATACAGACATCTACTTTAGAGTGTCACAATGCATGTTATAAAAGATTTTTCTCTTTCAAAGTGGGAATTGCTGGGGGAACGGTAAGGAGAGGCTTAGTTGCAAGGTTTTTTATTGGTAGGACTCAAACGTTCTGGGGTGAAACCTGAACCAGTAAGCTGTAGTTACAGGGAATTAAAGTAGGTGTGATCAGGAGAGCAGCTCTTAATATACCACTCAGTGAGCATCCGCCAGAGGCTTGGGGAGGAGCTCCCCACTTTGAGAGTAACCCGAGTCACCTGACTGGCAGCTCTAGACTCCACTTTTGAGTAACACTTTCATAATCAATAGCAGATAGCCTACAATTTATGAAGACTAATTTGTACCATTTGCAAGTTGCATTTTATTAGGTCTGCCTCTAATATAGCAACTCCATTTTTTTTTTTTTTTTTTTTTTAGGGAAGGGTCTACAGGGTGCTCAGGGTCTCACTACTAGATTGGACTCATAGTAATCCTCCTGTTTACAGCCTCCCAAGAGCTGGGATTACAGCACATGCTACCACACCCAGTCTCCATTGCTGTCTCAGGGCGCCCCAGGGGCAGGGCCAGGAGGGAATGCCCAGGGATCGAACCCCTGGCCCCTGTGTCTGCCTAAGCAGGCACTTTAATCTGCTGAGCTGTTTGGCCAGCCCTCCATTTTCTGTATAGGTTTTCCTCCTAAAATTCAATGCATCAAAACAAATCTTAAACGTCTAAGACTTCTGAGGGACTTTTTCACCCAAACTATACCATAGTTCCAAATACTCTGAGAACAGAGCTGTGGCCACTGGGCTATGGGCTCAGAGGAGCTGGAAGGCAGTAGGAACAGAAAAGCCAAGCTTCAGCTCCCACTGGCATCCAGCAGTCTATGCTGGCCAGGCATCTGGACACATGGGCAGTATGGCGAAACGAAGCCATAATCACTTGGATAACGTTTGACTGCTGTCAATAGGGATAGTTTCTTCAAATGGCTGTCTCCTCTGCCACAGCCTTTTCTCCCTCTGCCCCCTACACTGCACACTGTCTGCTTCTTCAGTGACTCAGAAAACCATATCCAGAGGGTGACTAGCAGAAGAGCTATGGTTCTTCTGGGGCCTGAAGTCTACAGGGCAAGTCCAGTAAAGCACATAACCTATCCTTATGGTGCCATCAAGGGACACAGGAAAGATAGCAAGAGCAGAGCTGCTCTAGGCAGCAGTAAGTAGGGCAGAGCTCAGCTCTTCTTCACTGCCATGTGAGCACAAAGCTCAAACTGAAAGGAGGAGAGGACCCTGGAGTACAAAATAGTGTTAGCCACATGTGACACTGTGCCTGTCTTCCCAGCTCTGAGGCAGGAGGATCACAAGTTCAAGCTCAGCCTGGATGACTTAGCAAAACCCTGTCTTAAACCAAAAGAAAAAATGAAAAGGGCCAGGAATATAGCTAAGGGCTAAGACCCTGTGTTCAAATGCTACACAGTGGCACCTTAGGGATGAATGAGGTGCCACCAGTTAGAAGCTCATTTGTGTGGCTCTTATCTTCTCCTCAGGTCCATCTCCACAGAACCAATATTGTCATGACTTCTGAAAACTTTGTACACTTCTAATACTTCTATCACTTCTGTGTACTACAACAGAGAATGAAGAGCATAGACAATGTCAACCAAGTGAAGCACACATACAGTGCATTTCTTGATAATTTTGACTCTGTCTTCAGTTAAAATTAGAGCACTCTGCAACCTCTTCCAGCCATTCTAGAGCACTTTCCTGCCTGGGTTGCTGCTCTGTGCTTCAGTGTCCCACATGGATATCTCTGTCTCACATTTTTGGTTCTGATTTCTCACTACTGTCCTCACTGACCTGTGTGGGAGGCCGTATGACAGTTTACCTGAGCAAGTCTGAGTTTTCTCACTTGGCTTTTGATTGTGGGTCAGCCTCCCACTTGTCCCTTAGATTCATCCCTGAAGTGCCACCAGTTAGAAGCTTGTTTGTGTGGCTCTTATCTTCTCCTCAGATCCATCTCCACAGATCCAATACTGTCATGACTTCTGAAAACTTCATACACTTCTAATACTTCTGTGTAAGAAGTGTTTAGAAAGAGCCTGGACTTGGTGTCAATCAAATCTGAATTCTGATCCTGACTCTGATATTAGATGCATGACCCAAAATAATTTATTTGATCTCTCTAGACCTCATTGTTATTATATAGAAAGTGAGTTCTGTTGTGAGGAGGAGGAATAATGTATGCTAAGTGCTGGATGAATGGTTGGCCAAGAAAGCATCTGTCCCCTGGGCAAGCTGGAAGAGAAAGAAAGAATGTAATTATGAGCACTGGATGGAGGCTGGGTTTACAGACCGCACTCTTCACCCTCCTCACGGCTGTGGTGTGTCCTGGCTTGCAGGCAGAAGATAAGGCGGATGTGCTCAATAAGGAGCTCCTTCTGACCAAGCAGAGGCTGGTGGAGACAGAGGAGGAGAAGAGGAAACAGGAAGAAGAGACTACCCAGGTAAAGGCACAGGTGGACTTCCTGTACACGGGAAGGCTGAGCAGGAGTTAAGGCTACAAAAAAGAAGTAAAATTAAAGTCATTCCAAGTCATGACCAGGTTGAAACAGTGAATGTAAGTAGCTGAGTCTTGACATTTCTTCAAGGGCACTAGAAAGAGAGAGCAGTATTTCTGCCTTTGGGCAGCTTGGAGGAATTTGCCTCTCCTGAGATGTGTGGCAAGAATGTTGAGTTTACTTTAAGGTTGTGATCCAAGAACCTTGATGAATCTGGAAGTTACGTGTCGTGTCTCTAATGTAGGTAACTTTTCTATAGTAGCTGTCAGGCATGGAAACTGACAGCCAGCTGAGGGCTTCTGTGGCCACTGTGGGGCCTCCACCCTCAGTCACGTACCGTCTTCTTGGCTCATGCCTTAGAAGACAGAGCCAGCATGACACAGAGCTCTGAGCCTTTTCCCTGGGGGAACGTAAACCTTTGGGAAGATCTTCCTGCCTTCTGTGTGTGAGGAGGGAGGCCAGTCTGCTAGAGCCAGTATCATCATGGGTGCAGGGTGGCAGAAAGGAGTGGGAGCTCCTGCGGGCCCCAGCGAGAGCAGGCCGCTTGGCAGGGTCCTGCCCACTGTCCGTGCCGGGCCTGAACATCATTGTAGGTTAGAGTTTCCTCGCAGATCCTTGAAGTCTGCTGCCAAAAGCTTGTTTGTCTTTATTAATATATCACAATTTTGTGATTTAAGAAGTGAGAAAATTTCTTAAATCACAATCAGTGAGTTTCATTTTGAGGTGTAAGTAATCCTAAATATAAAATAGACTATAAAGCACTTCAGAGCCCTTCATCCAAGTAACCAGAAAAAAGTTTCAGTGAAATTACACATACAGATGTGTCATTTAACATCTTCTATGATTTATAAAAAGTGTTCTGTGAATTTTTTTTCCTTGTTAGAATATGTTAAAATGAATCTTTAACATTTAGTGTGGCCCCAGAATTTTTTTTTAACCTATTCAAAAATTTTGGAAGGACTGATGATCCAGTTTGTGGCTTTTGTAGGCCTCTTGATTGGATTTTTGTTTTCATTATCTCTGCACTTCCTCGGGTCACCTTAGTACTTTAAGTGAAGGACCTGCTATTGGTAAAATAACTTACCCCATGCTGTCTCTGCCCACTGTTCCCTAGATACACACCAGCCCATGCATAACTGGTACCTCACCTAGGAAGGGTGACATTTGTTGAGCACTCACCTTGTACAAATGTGCCATGAACAGTGCAAGATACCAAACATTTTCCCTCCTTCCAATCTGTTTTGGGCACCTTTGTGAAATGGGGATCATTCTCAACTGTCACATGAGAAAGCTGTGACTTAGAGAATATTAGTGACACTTGCGCAAAGCATTTTAGCAGTTTATCCTGTAATCCATGTGGCCCTTATCATAGGAAAGAGAAGGTCATTGTTTATATCCTAAATTATATAAGACAGAGAACAGCGGCTTATATAAACAACTAAGTGTGAATCAATATAATATCATATAGCTTTTAAAATTTAAGAATGTAACAGGTATTAAAAGTTCAGTAATTGGGCTGGTGAGATGGCTCAGTGGTCTAAAGCACCTACTTGGAACAAGCTTGGCAAAGCACAAGGACTGCGGTTCGATCCCCCAGCACCACATGCCAGCCAGCCCCGCCCCCTGCTGGGCTGAGCTGGCCACACACACACACACAATAACACACACAATAAATAAATAAATAAATAAATAATTAAAAAAAAAAGTTCAGTAATCTTCTAATACAATTGCAATAATTTATGAATTCACTGGTATGGAATATACCTCACTAATAATTTTGGATGTTACCTTGGGGAATTCATCTTTATTCTGATTATGTACTTGATTAATCAGAGTTGTGGGGTTTTTTTTCATCAACAATTTGGCAGAATTGAATTCTTTTTTGGTACTGGGAATTTAACTCACCCAAGCAGGCACTGTGCCACTTAGCTGTAGCCCTAACCAAAATTCTTTCTTTTTTATCTGTTAGAAGCTGAGCTTTCTCATTCCTTACCTTCCTCTGTATTCAGAATTTTGGAACTGTTTGGCTACAAATGTGTGTGGTTTTAAAAATAACGCTCATAATTTAGCCTTTCAGTGACTGTAACAAGTACCTACATGCTGTGTCTCTTTAGCTCCTTCTAAACTCTTCCAGAACCTCTAGTCCCTCTCTTGAACTCAACTCTGGCCAGCGATGTAGCTCAGAAGCACAGCACGTACCTGGCAAGGACAAGGTCCTGAGTTCAATTCCTGGTACCAAAAAGAAAAAATAATTCCTCTCTGCTTCTGTCTTTTCCTGACTGCGAAGTCACCTGTCCCTGCCATCAGAGAAGTAAGAGCAGTGACAATTGAAGGCCTAAAATGCTTTTCTCAGTAATTTATACTATAGTATCAACAGTAACAAATTCACCATGCTGTATTTCCCTGATAATAACGACAACTTCTACATGGACATTTGTGGGCACTATGGTTGTCAAGTAAGTAATAAACATGAGCAGTTTGTTTTGTTTTAAAAAAAGCTTTGCTATAAATCTTCTACTTTATAGAAAAGAAATATTTTTATGTCTCTGGAAATTATTAGGTTTTCAAATTATCAAAATACAACTTTAGTTGAGAAAAATTTGTAATTTACTAATGGGGGTTACCATTGTCACTGACTATGAATCAGGAAGACTTGAACATAGATATTTGTAGAAATTTATTAACATTTTTGCCTAAAACCTAATGTTTTTCTTTCTAGTTAAAAGAAGTCTTCAGGAAACAGCTAGAGAAAGCAGAATATGAAATAAAAAAGACCACAGCTATCATCGCTGAGTATAAACAGGTAATGTGCCATTGTGGATTTCATTACTTACTATAAAAGTAATTAGTTTTACTTTTACTTTTTTAGATTTATTAATTCGGTGGCTTATTCTCTCCCATGAAATGGGCAGCAGTTAGATACACTTGCTGATAACTTGGGAGGTCTAAGTGACCAAAGAATCTGCCATGTCCAGTGTTTGGCAGATTTAGAGAGATGGGAAGCATTAGTGCCACTGAAATCAGGTCTCGGATGTCTTACTCAGAAGCTAAGTTCCAGTAGCTCAGCCAGGAACATGTGCCTCCTCGCGAAGTTTAGTGGTGGCTTAAATGGCAGTAGCTAGGCCATCAGTGCATCTTTTGCTATGTCAGTACAGAATGGGAAGCTTTATGTCCCCTTCTTGATTAGTGGCAGGTCTTGGTTACTTTTTTCATTGATGAGACAAAATACTCGGCACCCAAAGTTAAAAGAGGAAAGCTTTACTGTAGCTCACAGTTTGTAGAGGTTTCAGCCCATAGTTTTCGGGCTGCAAGGGTGGCATGCCCAAGGAGAAACAGGTCATGGCAGGCAGCCGGCAGCAGAGAGCAAGGCAGCAAGCAACAAACGATGACAATAGCAGCCTCTTCCTGTCTTCTTATCCTATCCACTCAGATCCGTGCTAGGGCACCCTTAATTCTAGCATCGACCACAAATCAGTATCAGCATCATATTCTTAATCCCAGCATCACACACTTTAGCTGCTTTCATGTTTTTTTGTCCTTTCTGTTGGCTGGATATGGTAAGGATTTTTGTCATTGCTGAGACTCGGTGGACTATTCATATTCCAGCTTCTAGAATTAATTAAATGCCATATGCCACCTTCTGATCCAAGGATTTCCCTGGGATCATCTGCTCATATAGTATGTCAAAATCTGATGCACGCTATTTTTGCTTGCTTTTAATGTATCTCTCTACATATTAGTAAAATTTGTGTTTTTATATGGAAAACTTTGGAAAATGTGGAAAACAGATCTCCATTAACTTTGCCAAATCATCATATTCATTGTAGTAGGTTGAGCATGCACTGTTGATATGTAAATAACTGCAAATAAATAGATTTATAATGTGTATAAATGCAATGAATTATATATATTCATCCATGTTGGATGTAACTTCTGTCACTTTATATATTATGAACACTTTTTCATAAGAATTCCTCATATTCATGGAAGATTTCAGAATAGATTTCTGAAATCTTCCCTCTTTGATGATAATATATGTGGGGCTTAATACTTTAGGGGAGCAAAAGATGAATTAATCTAACCTCTTTGCTCTAGAAGCTTATCTTGTAGTAGGAAGATAATACCCATGCATAAATAGGAGGAAAGAGCTCTTCCTATATGTGGGAGATGAGGAAACCCTTCCTGGAGAGGAGATGATTTGAGCTGTGCTTCAGATCTTGGATGAGACTGAGATGCGTTTAAATGATGGAAGGCAAGATGAAAGTGATGGAAGCAGGGAGTTGCACAGAGCTAAATTTACAGGAAAAAAAAATATTTTATTTGGTAAGAGGTTAATGTACAGAATGGAGGCAGAGGTCTTCTGGGGCCCAGATTCAGGAAGATCTTTAGGGCTGAGCTGAGGAGTTTGCATTTGTTTTGCTCTTCGTAGGAATTTTTGAGTAGGAAAGTGACATGCACAGGGACATACTGTTGGCACCACTCTGACCCAGAGAGGAATATGAAACAAATGGCAACGACCACAGAAAGAACACAGATCATAAAAAGCTATAATACCAGAATTTGAGAAGAAAAGGGGCTATGAGTTAACATAAAGTAATAATCAAAAAACAGAAGAGGAGGATACAAAAGCTAGTCTTAGGCAGGGGGTAGACAAGGGAGAAGATGGAAAATTAGCCTGTGATTTTAAATTTGGCTATCTAGGAACAGGGCCAATTAGACTTTAATCAATACAAGGAACATTAAAGACCAGGTCTTATGTGCTGTGGAATTTGCCCCCACTGCAAATACATTTTTCTCATTGCCACATTTTGCCAATACATGTCACCTTCTTCAGATCTGTGGTACTGTTCTTGACTATTTGGCAAGCATTTCAAATAAGGTGAAAGGCAGCAGACTCATCTGTTTGAAGATAGTTAGGATATAAAATCTATATTCAGTTTATTCTGTAGTTGGAATTGGCTATGCCTGGCTACATTCAAAAATGCTTTGCTTTAGAGGGTATTGCTTGGGTTTTTTTGAGACAGTGTCTTATTATACAATTCAAGTTAATCTTGAACTCACTTTGTAGTTCAGTCTGGCTTTGAATTCACAATAATCCTCCTGTTTCAGTTCTGGGATTATAGGCATCTGCCACCACACCTGGCACCTGAACACTTTCTTGTAAGAAGTATATGGTTTGCAAAACTTATCAGGGTGTGTTGCATCCCCACCACCGGCCCAACCCAGTTGACTCCTAACCCTCATACACACGCATGGAAGGTTCTATCACTGAGCTATATCCATGGTCCTTTTTAATTATTTTTATTTTGAGACAAGTGGCCCTGACTGGCTTCAAAGTTGTGATTCTCCTGACTCAGGTTTCCCAGTGGCTGAGATTGTATGTGTCTGCCATAATTCTCACTGACTTTGCTTTTAAATGTTAATTTAAACAGCTCTTCTTACTGTTTCATGAGTTTGGGTCAGGAAATATTTGAAATTGAATTAAATAAGCAAGACTTTGTCTTACTATTTGTTAGTAACTGAAGATTTTTTGTAAATGTCCTTGGATAATAGGTCTATATCATATTTGTTTCTAGCCTAATTTGGACTTTAAACTTTGACATTCTTTTTCATCAATTTTTATGGGATGTTTTCCCATTTATTTATCTATTTATTGGCTCTGGAGGTTGAATGTGGCCTTCACACTGAGCTATATCTTAGTACAACCACCTACATTTAAAAAAATTTTAGGTAGGGTGTTTCTAAATCATTATATTGCCAACATTGGACTTGAACGTGGGGTCCTCCTGCTTTAGCCTTCCAGGGCGCTGGCATTATCAGCATGTGCCTCCACTCCCAACAATTTTTTAAATCAATTTTTCTAAAATAAAGATTCTTGTTTTACTCAAAGGCTTTGACCATCAAATTTTTTAAATGGATCCTTTTTCCTTTGAAGTTATCAGTAGTAAATTTTATTTAATAAACACTTTAAAGTCTTTACAAATTTCCTATTCTCTTACAAACCTTTTTTGTACACATCTTTTCACTTGATTCATACCGCATGGCAGCTTGCCATGAGGAGGGAACTGAGACTTCTAAAGATTAATGAGTTCGCCCAGGATTGCAAAACTATAAACCGGTAGAACTGGACTAGCTCTAAACTCAGAATTTGTCTTCAGTGCCCACACTTTTAATTTTTATCCTGTGTTGCAAAACCACTTCATGAAAGTTTTATTTTAATCTATATTATTTCCTGGGTGGTTTAACTTTCTTTTCCTTACTCTGCTTCTACTCCCTAAGGAATGTTTTTTGATTGGAAAAAAAATCTTTTGGTGACTAGTCTGGAGAGGTTTCCAGGTCAGCATTTTCTTTATCCTATTCCCATCGTATCATCTTACAAAGTAGATACCCAGCAAAGATTCTATAGACTAATCCCACAGGGCGGCCAGGAATTAGTTGGAGTTAGTCACAGAAAGCTAGTGGCCGTGAGAAACACATCCCCCTCAAGTCTGTTTCCAGTGATTCAGACCAAGCGGTCTCTGCACTTGGGGCTCAGCCTTCCCGCTCCGCCGCTTCGCTTCCGCACTGAAGCGGCGTGGCCTGCCATCCGCAAACACCTTCTAGGATCAGCCGCACTACGTTATGAACTGATAAACAGCCACGTACATAACACAAGCACGTAGTGACTTGTTCTGTTCTCTGGTAAACAAACTCTCTTCTTCGCCTTAGATCTGTTCCCAGTTAAGTACCAGGCTGGAAAAACAGCAAGCAGCCAGCAAGGAGGAGCTGGAAGTAGTAAAGGTAAGGAGTGACCTGCTTTTGTCTTCCGGCTGCTTTCTGCTCTTAGTCGGGTGCGTCCCCATTTCCTGCTGTGGAGTGCAGCTCGCCTCTCCAGCCTGGGTGTGACTGTCCTTCCAGGCCGCTGGGCGGCTGTGTGCCCGTCAATCCCTCTGGGACTCACTGGCGTCCCGTGGTCACTCTCCTGAACGGTAAACCCATGGGCGATGTAGCGCTTGCCTGAAAAAATAGCGCATGTTAGGTAAGCAGCTGATTGTTCAACTTTTCAGTGGTTTGGGTTTCTGGTTTACTTTGGTTTTGATTTTTAATTAATTTTATTGGTACATTGTAGATGCACATAATGATCACATTCATCGCAGGGAATCTCTGCCTGTATGTGATATGTCTTGATTCTTTTTTCCCCTTTCCCCTCTTCTCCTTTCAACCCCACTTCCCCTCCTTATTTACAAAAACTTTGTTTCCAGTTTTTATTGATTTTTTTTGTTGTTGTTTTTCTTTGCCTTCCTTTTCTCCTCCCCCACCTCCTTAGTTTCCCACCCCATTTGAACATTTTCTTTCTATTTCACGATGTCTGTTGTACATCTTGGTCCTGATTTATCATTTTGGTTTCTTACACCATAGAAACAATTTGAAGGGGCCAGGGAGATAGCTCAGTAGAATAAGCGCATGCCTGGCAAGCACAAGGGCTTGAGTTCAATCCCCAGTTCCGCCAAAAAAAAAAAAAAAAAAAAAAAAAAAACAAGTATACAGGAAAGAAACAATTTGATATTTTACATGTGCTTCCGATTTATTTCATTTAAGAGTATGGTCTCAGGATGCATCATCCATCAATGGTTTGTTTTTAAAGAACACCTACAGCATTTGTTTTTATGCTGCCCCCTGGTGGTGACACTCCCTATGCTATTGCTATTGTTGAGGGGAAAAAAAGAACTTATTTTTTAGAAACAATAAAGCAAATGGATTTGTGTTCTTTTTTTTTTTTTTGGTGGAACCGGGGATTGAACTCAGGTCCTTGCACTTGGCAGGGAAGCACTTATTCCACTGAGCCATCTCCCGGGCCCCTGGATTGTGTTCTTAAGAAGCACTATAGACACAGTCAAGTGTTGGGGTCATGTCACAGAAACGTGACAGCCTTCTATTTGAATATATTTAGGTTTCATACTAGTAAGTAAATGCGCTTTAGGCAGTTTACCACATATTGTATTCTATAAAATAAAGATAACTATCTGTCTCACACAGCAAGCCTAGGTTAGTATGTAGCATACAGTAAATATATATTTTATGTTAAAACCTAAAAATATGGTGTTTGGGGAGATACCTCAGTGGCATTAGCACCAGCCTGGCAAGTGCAGGGTCCTGAGTTCAGTCCCCAGTAACACACACACACACACACAAAAAAAAAAAAAAAAAAAAAAAAAAAAACAGAAAATGTTCTGATATTGAGTTGTAAAAGTAGCAGTTATTTTTCTTATCTCATGTTACAATATATTGATCTGAGATAATAATATATTTATTATCAGTAAAGTTGGTGGCCTCCCCATACAAACCTACTAATATTCAGGGTTCACATCTTCTTATCTATGTTTGTACTTCTTTTTACTTAGCATTTACCAATTTTTCGATGCCATAGGTCCACTGACCAAGATTCAGTTGATGTACCATCTTGTCATAGAAAGGCTAGCTGTCTTGAACTGAAATCTTTATGTGAATAAAAATGAAACAAGGCAGGGCCTCGGAGATAGCTTAGTGGTATAAGCACCTGCCTGCCATCCTCAAGGTCCCCAGTTTGATCCTTGGTACCACCAAAAAAAAAAAAAAACAAAACAACAAAAAAAAAAAAACCCAAAGATTTACATTGGTCACATATTAAGAGTTTAAAAAGCATCTACTATGCGCAGAGACACTGGGAAGCCATTTTGTTATAGAAGTTACACTTGAAAAAGAGCTTGGAATGCACCTGGTAAGACAATTGCATACATACACACATGAAATACTTGGGAAAGGGTGCCTAGATAGGTTGTGTTAGCATCAGATTGCAGAGGAAGCAAAACCACAAGAACTACAGGCCAAAGAAGGCTTTGGAGGAGGTTGGACTAAAGCAGGATGGTTAGAAATTAATTGAGAAAAGGATTATAAAGGGGCATTCTGGAAGAAATTGTGAGAACAGCCCCAGAGTGAGCATTGTAGTGTCTCATAAAGAAAAGACAGATGTGATCAGGATGTGTACTAAGAAGGAGGAAGATACTGGAAAGGTGAATGAGGCCACCTAAGGAAAGGCTGTGACACTCCAAGAGAAGAGTATGAACTGTGTTAACCACAGTCTGGAAAACATCTATTAACGCTCACTGTGTGCTCCTTTTGGCATTCCTCTAAGACTTCACATGTACCAGCCACTTACCTCTGTAACTACCTAGTTAGAAAATAGTCCTGTGCCTTCACTTTATTAGTAAGAAAGATCAAAAGAGGTAACTTCTAAAGTCCATGTTCTTCTTCATTAGACTGTTCAATCTCCCCCTTCTCCAGAGCTACTTCTCATTTCACTGGGTATGGTTTGTCAGCTTCCGATTTTTCCAGCATCCTCTAACAGCCTTTCTCTACCACCGCTGCACCTCATCCCATACAATAGAATCAGAGTGGGCATTTGCAAATGTAGATTCCATTCTGTCTTTGCGGTTATCATATAGTCAACTCAGAATAAAATTGGAGGAAGCCTAAAAGATGTAGACTATGCTATGTAAAAGCAGTCTAGGACCTACAAAGATGGATTCTTGGTTGTCATGCATGACCCAAGCCCTTTAGTCATTAGTTCCTGCCCCACTGGTGAACATCCTCAGTGGCACCTCAAGATTAGCTGTCAGCTGGAGCTTCACACAGACACTTCAGGGCATCATACCCACACTCCAGAGAAGGACTGCAGGCTAAAAGAAGATGCAAGGGCAGAGGGGCCTTATTCCAGCTGGGTAAATACTTTTTCTAGAAGTTCTTCTGCACCATCTTTGTACTTACCTGTCAGAATTGAGCTTCACAGCCACCCCTAACTTGCAGGTTGAGAAATGTTACATACTGTGTCAGCCTAGATAAAATCATGGTTCTATCCTTCAGGAAGGAGAGAAGGATATTGGGTGGATTCAGCAGGGTCCTACCACATTTGGGTATATGTGTGTATAGGTGGCAGCTATGGAGCTGATAGCTGTATCTCCAGTGTGTGGTGTGAGGTCAGGTGGAGGGACTAAATACATTGTCCCTAAGATAAAATCAGAATTCAATGTCATGGTATCAAAGGACAGTTATAGCCCAGCCACAAAGAAGGCCATCTTGTTCCTCTCTTTCCTATCTCTTATACTCTACTTTGCCATTCTGGAATCTTAAAGTTCTCAGAAAGTGCTACAGTTTCACATGTTAATTTTTCCACCAAAATGTTATTCTTCCACTTCCGCAAGCAGGCACAGGGGCCGGGGGCTTGATGCTGGCCCCACCCCTGGGGTGTGCTGAGATGGCAATTGAGATTGGGCGTGGTGGCCTGCACCTGTAATCCCAGCTCTTGGGAGGCTGTAAACAGGCAGATCACCACAAGTCTGATCTAGTAGTGAGACCCTGAACACCCTGTAGACTCTTCCCTAAAATACAAAAAGAAAAAAAAAAGTTGTTCTTCCTGTTATATCAGCCTTTTCCCTCTTTGGTTCAATCCAATAAAATTGCTTACAAAGCTTGTTGATCTTTTAATCATTTAGGACCTACATCAAAAGCTATAGTATACAACCAGTATTTGCAACATAGCTATTTTGTGCCAGAACTTGGCTACTTATTCTTGTAGATGACTAAGCAGGAGAATGGCAAGTGGGTTTTTTTGTTTTTATTTTTTGTTTTTAACTGGGGATTGAACTTAGGACCTCGCACTTGCCCGGTAGAGACTTATGCCTCTGAGCTATGTCTCTGTGCCTTGCAATTTTTTTGCTTTATTTCACATGGCTGATGGATATGAACCAGGAATATGAAGCATGGGTGCACACAAGAAAAAAATTAGTGTGGAAGATACAGTGACTCTGGTACACAGGCCTTGGGTGGGAAGATCTTGGACATATCAGAGGAAGAACTGAATGGTCAGCTGCACGTGGATGTAGAAACAGCTGGTGGATATGTGACCCCCAGTCCTCGGGGCTGAACAATGGCGCGGCACAAGCGCAGTGACAGGGCAGCATGGCAGATTCACTTTATGTATGTGTAAAGAGAGAAGTTTAGTTGTAGCTCAGAACACATTTGAACTTGTAAGATATTAAAACAGAGATGGTGTATAGTATATTTTCTAAGTTTCAAGTTTTTTAAATTAATTTTTATAGTGCTAGGGATGGAACCCAGGGCCCTGTATTTGCCAGGCAAAGCCTACTGCTGAGCTGCATTCCTATCTCTATTCCCATTTCTAATTTATTTTTAAGATATTTTGGATAAACAGTAGCATCATTGTCTTGAAAAGACTGCTGTTGTTCTGTGTTCTGGATTTGATTGGCAGCCTGGGAAAGCAGTGGAGTTGCTTTTATTACCTTAAACAATAAAGCTCATTTGTTTAAAGTTGAACAATAAGACAAGTACTTTGTTGTAATAGTAATGTAAGTCAGGCATGATGACCTTCCACCTACTGTACACAAGTTCCTTTAACTCTGAGTTTTTTCATTTATAAAATACAATGAGAATCCTGGCTATCCTACCTGCATGAGGGGTAAATAACACAAGGACATAGTGTGGGGCTTGGTAAGAGGAATGGCAACATGAATTTCTAGATCAGATTGCAATGACAAGCTGTACTGTTCCTAGGGTCTTTCTAAAGATACTTCAGGAAAAAGGAACACCTGTTTTGGATAGTTGGATTTTGTGCTCACTTTAACCATTTTAATTGCAGAACAACAAAAAGGTTCTTTCAGAAATCGGGCTGCATTAAATGGCAATAAGTGGTATCTTTAAAAAATTATATTGGCTGGGCATGGTGGCACACACCTGTCATTCCAGCACTGTGGGAGGCTGAGGCAGGAGGATTACAGTTCGAGCTCAGCCTGGGCAAGTTAGCAACAACCTATCTCAAAACTTATGGGAGTGGGACATAGGTCAGTGTGAAGGCCCCGAGTTCAATTCTTGGTACCCCCTGGCCAAATTATATATTAGTTTAGGAAGTGATTTATCCTGTAAACGAAGTTTGATGTTGGGCTGAGGAGATAGTTCAGTACTCTAAGCACCTACCTGGTAAGCACAAGGACCCAGGTTCAATCCCCGGTACTGCATGCCTTGCTGGCCCAGCACTGAGCTGGCCACCGAAACCAGGTATGGTGCTACATACCTGTAATCCCAGCACTAGGGAGGCTGAGACAGGAGGATCACTACGAATTTGAGCTGCATAGTGAGGCCCCGTACCAAATAAATAAATAAACATTTAAAAAAATTTTTTTTAAAAGTTTGATGTTGATCATGTCTTTTGGGTATTTCAGGGTAAAATGATGACATGCAAACACTGCAGTGACATTTTCAGCAAAGAAGGTGCTTTGAAACTGGCAGCCATAAGCAGAGAGGACCAGGGAATTGAAGCAGATGATGAGAAGGACTCGCTCAAGAAGCAGCTGCGGGAGATGGAGCTGGAACTGGCACAAACTAAACTGCAGCTGGTAGAGGCCAAGTGTAAAATCCAGGTTGGTGAGAGCCAGTGAAGAAGAACCAGCAGTCCTGGTTCTGGCTGCCCTGATACTTTAGAGTATGTCTGTGTGGGTCAGAGTCATAAGATATTGCTGGCGTGGTAGTGGACACCTTTAATCCCAGCACTTGGGAGGCTGGGACAGGAGGATCACTACAAGTTGGAGTCCAGCCTGGGCCACATAGGGAGTTCAAGACCAGCATGAACTACCCAGTGTGACCCTGTCCTTAAAAAAAAAAAAAAAAAAAAGATTGTATTACTATATTAGTTGTATACATTTTCTGTCCACTAACATGTCCTGCAAAATTTTATTTTACTCCATGTATTTTTAACCATGAGATAAACACAAGGGCCAGCCAGATAGCTCAGTGGATAAAGTGCCTGCTTAGGCAGACAAAGGGACCACTGGGCTTCCATCCCCTGTGTGCTGTGCCAGCCCTGCCCCTGGGGCACACTGAGATGGCAACTGAGACTGGCCATGGTGGTCCCCACCTGTAATCCCAGTGCTTGGGAGGCTGAAAAACCAGGAGGATCACTATGAGTCCGATCTATATAGTGAGACCCTATAGTCTAAAAACATTAAAGTCTGAACACCTACCTGGCTAAAGACCCTGTACTAAAAACATTTAAAAAACCACAATATTAAATGAAATTTTATTATTTTTTATTTACTTACTTATTTTGGGTTTTTGAGGCAGAGTCCCACTGTATAGTTCAGGCTGGCCTTAAACTCATGACAGTCTTCCTGCCTTAGCCTCCCAAGTGCTGGGATTGTACGTGTGCACCACCATGCCTGACCTATTAAGTGAAATTGTAATCATGAAAAGCATACCTTGTAGAATTTAAGCATATGCTCTTTTAGTTAACCTAAGCTTTTGGTCACTTTGATAGCTGATCCTGAAATGAAAGGCCAGTTTGCTGTTATCTTCACCTCAACAGCCAAACATTGGCAATGCCTGTTTTCTTAAGAGCTTCTTTTTATCATCAGCTGATTTTTGCCATGTACCCTTTTGCACTAGCTCTCTCCATAATGGAGAATAACAAAATTAGAAAAATCGTCATGGCTTCTAATGTACTGCTCCCCATTTTTTTCCCAGTGACCCCTGCCCACCACATGGTCCTGCCATGGCACCAACCGTGCCACACAGCCATCCTCCCCTAGTGTGTGATCTGGAACCCTGTATACTTTCGTGACCAAAGGCTGTCTTTGACTGGGAACGCTTTTGTGCTTACACTAACAGTAAAAACTTACTCCATCCATATGGGGTTTTTTTGTGTGTCGTTTTAAGTATGTTATTTTGGTCTCAACCTAAACCTAAATTTTTACCTAGCTGGCAGGAGAAAAAGATGTAATAAGTATTTATTTTACTTTTCAGAGAAAGCAGAGTCTGACTTCAGTGGTAACTTTTTTTTTTTAAATGTATTTAGTACAGTTTACAGGTCTCACTACGTAAATTGGACTCAATAGTGATTCCCGTTTTCAGCCTCCCAAGCGCTGGGATTACAGGCACTCACCACCATGCCCAGTCTCAATCACCATCTCAGCACGCCTCAGAGGCCAGGGATAAACCCCCACCCCACCCCTGCATCTGCCTAAACAGGTGCTTTAACCCACTGAGCTTTCTGGTCGGCCTTCAGTGCTAACTCTTAAAGCTGTAACATTTTCCGTTGTATTAAGAGGACAAATCTTTCCTGAGATTTGAGGGAGGGAAACTATGTAAGCATAGTAAACATGGTAAGCATACATCTGGAGATTCCAGAAAGCTATACTGTCACTTTCTTTTACCAGAGAGAAAATACTTACATAACTCAAATGATTTTCTTTCTTTAACTAGGAACTTGAACATCAGAGAGGAGCCCTTATGAATGAAATCCAAGCTGCAAAAAACTCCTGGTTTAGCAAAACCCTGAACTCTATTAAAACGGCCACGGGCACGCAGCCCCTGCAGCCACCTCAGGCTGCCCAGCCACCCAAGGAGAGTACATAGCTCCAGCCTCGCTTGAGCACAAGAGCACAATGATCAAAGCGATGAAGACCTAGGACTATTCCTGGGGTCCCTTTGAAGGAGACCAGAAAGCAATCCAGAATCTTCCAGTAGCTGTCTCTTCTATGACACTTTCCAAAGGGATGTTATTTAAATTGACCTGATTTATGTCAAATACCTGTTTTCCAGCTTCTTCAGTGGAAGGCCATGTTCAGATCCACCATAGTATTGCAATTATTTTATATGCCTGATATTTAGTTGGAAATTAGTAACTCAGAACTATATGCTTTTTATTTAGAACTAATATTCCTAATAATTTCTATCTTATGTAAAATTGGAGACATCTGTTATACTAAAGTAGAAGAGATAAGATCTTTGCCATGGAAAAAAATTTTTTTGAAGCTAAACTTCTTTAACTTTCCAGGATTTCTTCAGACAAAGCACACTGTGGGGCTGGTCATGACCACTGTCAGGTCTCATCCTGAAATTGATTCCCAGGGTGGCAAAATTCCTGTCCCAAGAAAAGAACAGACCAGGGACTGCGAGGTCTCCAATAAGACTTTGGTTTATTTCCACTTTATGTCAGGTACGTCTGGAAACAAAGTGCCAAGAACTGTGGGATAGATGAACTTTGAGAACACACACCATATAAGTGAAGCTGAGGTGTTGATGAACACACAATAAAATTGTTTTAGCTCTGGTATTCTAGCAGATCTTTTTCAAAACTCTGCATGGGACTTGCAAGTTCTTATTATGCCTGTGTACAAACAGGTCTGACTTATGGCAAATGCAGAGAGAAGAGGGTATTGTAAGTTGCAGGCTTGGAACCTGGTCCACAGAAGAGTGGCAAGGCCCAGGTGCATCCATTGTGCTAAGGGTGGAATACATGCTAGTGAATCGGTGACAAAAGTGATTTCTTCTGATGTTGGCATACTTGCTAAAGAAACACTAATATTTTGTAACTTTGTTAAAAGACAGTAGTATTGAAATTGAGGTCAGCTTCACATCATCTTATTTTAATGTTAGGGAACTTTTCTTGATCTCTTAGCACCCTAAAAATATGCTCTTCATACGTATAGGTGAGAGACACAAATGCATTTTTAACATCTTTGATTGAATATAAGAGCCTTTATAGAAATATTTATGTCATGAAAAGATGATGCTATTGTTTAAAAATTGGTGGAAGTATTTTTTTAATTACATTTAGATGCCTATACAAATAGTCCTTGGAGAAAATTCTTTGGTAAGGGTAAAACTAACTTTACCATTTATAAGCTCTTCTAAAGATATCTGGTCCTTTCTCACCAAACTACTTTGGCTATGTACAGTAATGCTTACTGATAACTCATTCTTGGCTTCATTGGTGAACATACTGTTTGCAAAGGACCTTAAACTCTGTAGTACCAGAATAGTTCTCTGTGCCATATGTTGCAATTATAACGCACCCCTTAAAAGTTAGGGTCAATTAAGAGCCTTCGTGTAATCCCAGAGGATACACTACAAGTTGGTCATGATAGAGCCTTTCCTCTAAATTATCTGAAAAAACTGCAATCCCTTTCATCTCTTTTCATGGTGTATACAGCCTATACTGATCAGGATTTTTTGGTATGTGTTATACCTTTCAAAGTAATACTTTTATTACAGAAATCCTTTGTTACTGTTTTGATATCTTTCATCATAAATTCATTTCTTTTTACCAAATAAGAAAAAATCCAGCATTCCGAGGGTCCATGTTGACTTTAACATTCCCTATGTGGCAGTTTAGATAAGCTAATATTTTTTCTAATATATAATGGCTAGAAAATTACATCTTGGCATTTGTTTCTATAAATCATTTACTATAGTCTGCTAACTTTACTGGTACTTGGAGTTCAAGAACCCCTGTACAAATCACCTTTTCAAATGGCCTGTTGAATTAAAAATACACTTGTGCTGTGAATCTCATAGTACTACAAAGAGCCCCTTATGATTTCTCAAATAAATTGCACAAAATGCGTAGTTACATAGTTTTCCTTAAATTGTAGTTGGGGGAGTAAGTAATGGCTTCAGGTCAAGTCCTTATCTATGGACCTCAATTTTGTAGTCCTTTTGTTTTTTAAAAAAAAATCACCAAGTTAATACATTCTAAAAGTTGACAAAGCCATCTTTTGAGTTTTAACTTCTACAAAAGGGCAATATGTAGTTTTTCTCCTTAACCCCGTATCATATTTGTATATGTATATACTGGTACCATTGGTTTAAATTTGCCCTCGCTGCATTGCCTTTGAGTCAGTAGCAATAGTAAAGACCAAAAAGAAAAAAGATGAGAAACGTAGGTGATATGAGTGCTCATACAGTATGTTGTAATAGCAGCATTCCAAGCTACATGTCCTTTGATGTCTGAAAAACTCTTGCGCCCCAACACAATGCAGTTACTAATTTTAATTTCACTTATTATGGGACATACTTGAGAACTGCAACTTCCTCTCTTAAATTCCTTTTAAAAAAGGATTAATCAGCCAAATATCTAGATTTCCAAACATTCCAGTGATTCTCATCCTTTACCTAGAATGTACACTATATAAAACATTCCTTTAAATACATATTTGCAACATCTGAAAAGTGATCACATCTCTTTTCCTCAAGTATCATAAAAGAGTACAATTCAACTTTATTCATTAATTCAGTTCATTAGCTTTTGTACCTTGAGAATCTTTTTAAACACACTCTTTTAAAGCTGAAAGAAACCAAGTTGAATTTCACAGTGCATGTTTGCTAGCTTCCCACATCACAATTTGGTTATATTTAGGTACATATAATTTAATGCAAAGTTCTCAGTTACCTAGTGTTCTCTATATGAATGCCTGAACATTAGTAGAAATGTCATACAAGCCTGTTACCTGTTTCTTTACAATGAAGATAGCTCTTTTCTCTTAGCTATTAGTTCTTCTTCATTGGTTCTCTTAATTTTTCTCAAGTACAAAAGCAAGCTTTGTACTAATGTTAGCATATTTAATAGTATTTATCTTGTTTGATTTTTTAAAAGTTCATCCTCTCCTAATGTATATTAATATTTATTTTTTTCTCCAAATTCTACATGTTCCTAAAATATTTTCTAGTTAATAACTAGTGGCTTAATTTCATGGAAGGAGGAAACCAAGACAGTGCAAAGGGACAGGCACAGGAGGTAAGAGTTTTAGATCCTTAGAGGAGTCAGTTACCTAGGATAAGAATCACACATATGACTCATGTAAGAGATTGAGCTTCCCTTTACTGTAGCTGAACTCAAGTCTATCATCTCACTAACACTGTACAACAGACATTAAGGTGGTTGATTTTTAGGACTTCCTTAAGTGGGGGGAAAGAACTTTAAAATATTTTGTTTTATCTTCTGGGAAAGAACAGTTATTTAGCAAGATGATTATATTATATAACGTATCCTTACAAACACTAGCATAGCTCTGATTCTCTTATTTCATTACAAGGAAATGAGAATGATCAAATTCTGTTGTTCACTTTGAGCACTTAGGTTTTTGTTTGTGTGTGTAATCAGTGATATTTTCTATAGAGTATCCGTGCCTCTTTTATATGCTGACACGATACATACAGCCAAATACACATTAAGACAGCGATCAAAGCCAGAAGGCTGGACAACAGCCTGTTTCCAAATACCAGGTATACAAGTAAAACTCTCAAGTCACCACGCTTATAGCAAACTGAGCTGGAACTATGTGATAACTTTTTTCCTGCCTGGGAGTGGCATTTATATAAAGGGTCTTTACCTTAAGAACTTCCGTACCTTTCAAAAATATACAAAAATGATGCCTTTATTGTGAGCTGCACTTCAGAAAGTGATGTCAATCTTGACATAAGAAAAAAGACACGAGACTGTAGTGATTACAGTCAGCTGATGTATCAAGTTTTCATCTTAAAAACTGTATGTCCCGCTTATCTCAAAATGAATTTGCTACCTATTAAAAATACTTTCAAGCAGGGCATTTTAGTGTATGCCTGTAATCCCAGCACTCAAGAATCTGAGGCAGGATTGCCATGCATTTGAGGTCAGAGTGAATTAAAGGTCAACCTGAGCTGCATAGAGACTGTCTCCAAAAACTAAAACTAAACAAATATGAAAGTATATTCAATATGTTCTTTTCTTCCTACTTCCATCCTTGGTTTACTCTTAGCTGTATTCTGAAAAGTTTAAGAAAAAGAAACCATTTAGAAGAAAATAAACACTTTAAGTTACTTTATTTTTTTCACTGGCAACTGATTTTTACCATGTAAAAATGTTTCCATAAGCTCTAACTATAACAACTATATATTATATATGGAATAAGATAAAGGAAACTGAGTTCTGAGATTATAGATGCATCAAAAGACTGGAATCATGAAAGCACATGAATAAAGCTGGAGATGGTCCCAAAATCTAAGATGTCCCAAGTAGCCTTTTTCATCAGTTTCTCCATTTTTAGTGTTTTGCATAATGCATGGATACTTAGTTAAAATGAGGGGAATTTTCCCATTCAGGCCAACTTCCTTTGTTCCAGCTCCTGGCTCTCCAGTGCTAAGGAGGTAGTAGAAATTCTGTACTATCTATTTTTATGAAACTTAAGTTTTTGCCCATATTTTCTATAATAGAGGCAATGATTAGAATAAAGGAGTGGATTAGTACAAACAATGCTAACTGATTACAAAAGAAACATTAGGTATCAGCCTCTTCCTCTATGAACACCAATTAGATGTTTCCACAATTCCATGTATTATGTATAGTACACTCTAAATGTAAATGTAATGCTTGTTAAGAAAAGTGCAATTTATTGTACATTGTCCCAACAAATGTTTACTTTTATAATTGTCATGAACTTGAACTGGATTAGTATCTTGTTTTTATGTGTGAATGAAGCCTTGTGAAATAAACAGATGCAACCAAGAAAGTTAACATGGTGCCTGTTCTTGTGAGCCAGTGATGTTTTTGATGCTTTGTGTTGCCCCTTTGGCCCCATTAAGCCGTAATAAACATTTGTTCTTAAGTCCATTTTGTATCTGCTTCTTTAATATTATGTATTTTTTAAAGAGTACAAATTAGAATTGAAACAAAAAATTAAAAGTGATATAGAATTTCGCTTAAGAAAGTAACATAAATTTCCCAGTATTTGTTGTAATAGTGTTGGCTCCCAACCAGTTATTCACATACCAGATATATACAAGTAAAATTGAAGAAAAAAGAAGTGTATAAGAAATTAAGAGAAAAAGTACAATTGAAAGAAGGACAAGAAACAAAGCATTAATTGCTTCTTTCCATAGACCAGCAGAAATGCACAGTACAGTTGTCCAAACCATCCTGCTACCATACATAAATTTTTCCCACTCCCTCTCCTATCTTTTTCTGCTTTTTTCAAGTTGACATTATTCTGAATCATTTGAACTTAATGACACTTCTTAGCTGATACGAGGCTTCTACCAACTTATAAAGAAAACATCCAGAGTTTTCTCCAATGTCCCTGCAAAATAATGTCCTGTACAGCAGCCCTGCCAACCACCCTACGGTTCTTTCTATTGAGGCTTCTTGGTTGCAAGTAGAAAGAAAAACCCTTTTAAAGGCAGTTACTGTATGAGGAACTAGAGGCATCTGAGCCTGAAGAGGCACTGAGATCAGATAATGAAATGCCACCAGAGGCTAAAACCATTTCCATTACCACTTTCCTACTTATCTTTTCAGATGATCCGTATCTGCTTCA